CAGGCGGGTCTCGAACCCACGGGCTCAGGCAATCCACTCACCTCAGCCTCCCAAAGGTGCAGGATTACAGGCTGAGCCACCGAGCCCAGCTTGGTAATTTTATGTTTTATCACAGGACCCAACACAGTGTACATCTTCAAAAATGTTCATTTTTCTCCCCTTCGTTTCTTTTTTGATTTACGGTCTCACTCTGTGGCACAGTCATGGCTCATTGCAGCCTTGACCATCTGGGCTCAGGCAGTCCTTCCTCCTCAACCTCGAAGATTTCTGGGACTACAGGTGCGTGCCACCATGCCCAGCTGATTTTTTATTTTTTGTAGAGTCGAGGGTTTGCTATGTTGTCTAGGCTGGCCTTGAACTCCTGGCCACAAGTTGTCCTCCCGCTTCGGCCTCCCAAACTATTACGATTACAGGTGTGAGCCCTCGGCTCCTTATTTCTTTTCTGAGACATGTTTATTCTTTGGTATTTCAGGTACTACATTAAACCTTCTGAAGTTTCCGATTTGTAACCCAACTCCTTACAGAATGTTTGCAAGGCAAAAAAGGCTTAAGAAAGATGCCACTGAAGCTGAAGAAGATCTTAGTGAGCAAGAACAAAAGCAACTTAATGTCTTGAAAAAGCAGGCTTATGTAGTAGGTAAGCATCCTCTGGAAAAACTCTGGCTGGCTTTATGCTAAAAATTTTTTGTTAAACAGCGTCCTGAAATACAGCTGTCTGGGCTGACCGGGTTTTGTAGGAAGAGACTACCTTCCTCGTTCTGGAACAGAGAGGCCCTTGAGAGGCAAGACCAATCTTTGGAAACCTAGAACAGTGCAAGTAGTCAAGGTCTTGACGCCATGGAGCAGCTGTAGATTAGGTTGTCCCTCTTTCCTTGGTGTATCTTCTTAGCCTCCCTTTACGAAAAACGGTCTGATTTCCAACCCCCGCCTCCACATCCACAGCCAGCCACATACCCAATCATTCCAAGAGTGTGACTCCCACTGTCTTTGAGAAAAGCAAAGTATCATTGTGATCTCACTCCCATTCACTGTAATTGGCCTTAGTAACTTCTTGGAGGCAAAAATCACGTCTAGTCAAAAGCGGTAAAGGAGTGACTAATCTTAGTGTAACTTGTTCTAGGAAGAGTTGGAAGAACATTCTTCTATTCACAACAGAGGGATGAAGCTGCCTTTGAGTTTGATGCTGATTCACTTGCCTTTGACATGGAAAACGAAGCTGTCAGGGTTGCACACAAACCTACCAAACAAGTAGAGCTGACTGCAGCAGATGTGAAAGATGCCCACTGGCTTTATGACACCCCTGGAATTACAAAAGAAAATTGTGTACGTATTTGGTTTCTTTTAGAAACATTTGCTTTCACTTGCACAAGTACTACTGTCCTAATTGGCAGGAAACAGGGAAGGAAGTATCCTTCCAGTTTAGACCCAGCTCTTTTTTTAATATTTTTTTTTGAGTCGGAGTCTCACTGTTGTCACAGTGAGGCAGAAGTGCGGTGGCACACTCAGGGCCACTGCAGCCTCAACTTACTAGGCTCAGGCAATCCTGCCTCAGCCTTCCAAGTAGCTGAAACTACAGGCGCACGCCACCACACCCAGCTAATTTTTTGATTTATTATTATAGAGACAGGGTCTCACCATGTTGCCCAGGCTGGTCTTGAACCCCTGGGCTCAAATAGTCCTCTCGCCTTGGCCTCCCGAAGTGCTGGGATTACAGGTGTGAGCCACCACACCCAGCGCTGATTCATTCTTAAAAGTGATTCGGGGATGAATCTATATGCCGTTGTGCTCTCTGTTCCATTTGGTAAGCTTCATGATGGCCACCTACTTTTTTTATCATGTGCTTACCGTACTTTGGGAGACATTTACAGAGTCTGAGATTTTGAGGTGGGAAAAAACTGTAAATATCACTGCAGTCCATCACTCTAGTCCATGCATGAATTTTTGCTATAACATCCCCATCAGGGGTCCTCCAACTTGAACTGAAGTAAGGAGTGACTTAACATCAACTAAAGCAGTGTCACATCACCTCTCAAAGTAACCCATTTGGTCTTTCACCTGCTCTTTGCATTGAGCTTAGCAGTCTCCCTGTTACTTGTACCCATTGCTCTTCAAAGCTGTTGGAATGAACGTAATGCCCATTTCCCTTACCAGACCTTGAAATACATTAAAGTGTAATTTCCTGTCTCTTCCTCACCAATCCCTCCCTTCTCTTTCCTTTTTTTATTTTTTTGGAGACAGGCTCTGACTTTCACCCAGGCTGGAATGTAGTGGTGTGATCGTAGCTCACAGCAGCCTCTAACTCTGGGATCACGTGATTCTCCTGTCTCAGCCTTCCAAATATATGAGACTTTAGGTGCATGCCACCATGCCTGCCTAATTCTTTTTTTCAAAACAAGATCTCAGTATGTTTCTTTTTGTTTTGGTTTGGTTTTTTTTTTGAGTCAGAGTCTCACTCTGTCACCCAGGCTGGAGTGCAGTTGCACGCTTTCAGCCACTGCGGCCTCAACTTACTAAGCTCAGGCAATCCTTCTGCCTCAGCTGGAACTACAGGCACGTGCCACCACACCTGGCTAATTTTTTTTTTTTTTTGGTTTATTTTAGAGGTGAGGTCTCACCAGGTTACCCAGGCTGTTCTCAAACCTGTGGGCTCACCTCGGCCTCCCAAAGCGCTGGGATTATAGGCGTGAGCCACTGCGCCCGGCCTATGATTCATCCAGTGAACATTGAGTATTTACTGTATTAATAAAATCCAAATTATCTGTCCTCATTTCCTACTGCTGTTCTGTCTGATAAACAGGCTATTCATCAACCTAGGCCTGCTTTCAGAATGTTTTCTAAGTTGTTCTTAGAGGATGATACTAAGGAATAAGTGATCTCAGATGAGCATCATTCAGAATAGGATTAACTCCTATCTTGCCCTGTGCATCTTTTGAATCCAATCGCAGGACCTCATGGTTAACTGTGATCTTGTCTTGTTAAATTCAGCCCATATTCTAACTCTCTCAAATATTCATTAACACTCACTGGATGCAGTGGCTCACACCTGTAATCGCAGCACTTTGGGAAGCCAAGGCAGGAGTATCACTTGAGTCCAGGAGTTCAAGGCCAGCCTAGGCAACATAGACCTCGTCTGTACTAAAATAAAAATAATTCGCCAGGCATGCTGGTGCACACCTGTAGTCCCACCTACTCTGGAGGCTGAGGCAGAAGGGTTGCTGCAGCAAGCCATGATTTTGCCACTGGATTCCACCCTGGGCAACAGAGTGAGATACCCTAACTAAAAAGAAATTTTCATTAAATCTCATAACATCCCAGGCATGGTGGTTCAAGCCTGTAATCCCAGCACTTTGGAAGACCAAGGTGAGAAGATTGCCTGAGCTCAGGGGTTTGAGACCAGCCTGGGTAACTTGATGAGACTATCTCTCTAAAATACATAAATAAATAAAGAAACAAATCAATCAACAAACAAACAAGCTGGGCGTGGTAGCAGTGGCCTCTAGTACCAGCTACTTGGAAGGCCGAGGCAGAAGGGTCGTCTGAGCCCAGCAGGTCAAGGCTGCCATGGCTATGAGTGTGCTACAACACTCCATCCAAGGGCATAGAGTGAGACTCCAACTCAAAAAGAAATAAAATCTCATAACATTTTATATTTGCAGGTTTGGTCTGCATCCAAGTTATTGATTGACTCAAGCGTGCATTCAGGATATAGCCTCACAACAGATTCACGAATCACTCCCTCTCAATCTGTTTACCAGCTAGTTTCTAATTCTAATTACCACTGTCTCCCCCTGTGAAGCCACACTGGCGTCTTCTTTGCTTTACCTCATCGGGATCACTTACAGTTCATTCTCAGACTTGTGTCCTACTTGGTGTCCCGTGTCATAGAATCACATAGACCTTTTGTCTGCACTTTCCCTGCCCTCCTAGGATAACTGCACATGTCATCTTGTCTCCCTTGGCAGATCACAACTTCAGAGTATCTGGACTGTTTCTAATAATGTTCTATCAGTTTAACTTCCTGAACTAATTCTCCCCTTTCAGAGTGTATTAGGTCAGGGATAACAGTTACTTAAATCATATATACCCTCTGTGAAATAGTTGGGTCAGAAAGAAAAGAATTTGCAGAATAGTCCTAGCACGTTTTTAGATATGAAAGTCTGTCAGCACTGGTAGTTTGCTTCTGTGTCTGCTTACAGATGTATTCATTTGATGTCTTAAACCAGTGTTTGCAAAACTGAACCAAGAAACTCTGGTGAAATGGAAGTATTAGACTTTGAGCTCAAAAAAGGAGTTTAACGTTTCTTTACTGCAAGTAGCAAAATTTTGTTTGTTTGTTTCATTTTGTTTTTGCTGTTTTTTCTTTGATTCTGAGTTGGAGTCTCACTCTGTTGCCCAGGCTGGAGTGCAGTAGCGTAGTCACAGGTACTTCAGCCTCGGCCCACTGGGCTCAGGCAGTCCTTCTGCCTCAGCCTCCCTGTTAGCTGGGACTCAGGCACATGCCACCACACCCACCTAATTTTTGGATTTTATGTAGAGGCGAGGTCTTGCCATGTTGCCCAGGCTGCTCTCAAACTCCTGGGTTCCAGCAATTCTCTCGCCTCGGCCTCCCCAAGTGCTGGGATTACAGGTGTGTTTTCCTTCTTTTTTTTTTTTTTTTTTTTTTTTTTTTTTTAATTGGGCTCTCTGTCACCCAGGCTGGAGTGCAGTGGCATGATCATGGCTCACCACAGCCTTGACCTCCTGGGCTTGGTGATCCTTTCATTTCAGCTATCGAAGTAACTGAAACTATAGATGTGTGCCACCACACCCAGCTAATTTTCTGATTCTTTATAGAGATGACATCTTGCTATGTTGCCTAGGATGGTGTCAAACTCCTGGACTCAAGTGATTCTCCGGCCTTAGCCCCTCGGTGCTGCAGGCATGATTACAGGGATGAGCCATCTCACCTGACCTAATATATCTTTCTTTTTTCTTTTTCGGCAGAGAGGGGTTGGAGTCTCACTCCATCACCTAGGCTGGTGTGCAGTGACACCACTCACAGCCACCCCAGGGTTGACCTGCTGGGCTCCAGCGATCCTTCCGTCTCAGCCTTCCAAGTGGCCAGAACTACAGGCACGCACCACCACTCCTGGCTAATTTTTTATTTATTGTAGAGACGAGGTCTCGCCAAGTTGCCTGGGCTGGTCTCAAACCCATGGGCTCAGGCAATCCATTCGCCTCGGCCTCCCAAAGCGCTGAGCCACAAGCCGGACCTTTTTTTTGAGTCGGGGGTCTCACTGTGTCAGCCAGGCTGGAGTGCAGTGGCATGATCATGGCTCACCAGCCTTGACCTGTTCCACGGTGATCCTTCTACCTCAGCAGAAGGGACTACAGGCATGTGCCACTACACCTGGACCCTTTTTTTATTTTTTTTTAGAGATGAGGTCTTGCCATGTTGCTCAGGCTGGTCTCAAACTCCTGGACTCGAGCGCTGCCCCAACCTCTGTCTCCCAAAGACCTGCTGTTACAGATGTGAGTCACTGCGCCCAGCTGCAGTCTCCTCCTTATATATCTTCTTGTGAGTTACTCTGTGTCTCACATGTGTATTTTGTTTTCTTGTTAGCCTCCATGAGAACGAGTAAGTTCACATATTTTTTGTTTGTGTAATTTTTACCTTCCTATTCATTTTCTTTTCTTTTCTTTTTTTTTTTTGAGTTAGAGTCTCACTGTATTGCTCAGGCTGGAGTGCAGTGGCACGCTTATGGCCGCTGCAGCCTGGATTTGCTGGACTCAGGTGAACCTTCCACCTCAGCCTCTATAACTACAGGCCCAGGCCACCACATCCGGCTAATTTTTTCTTGATTTATTGTAGTGATGACATCCCACCAAGATGCCTAGGCTGGTCTCAAACCCCTGGGCTCAGGCAGTCTCTTGCATTGGTTTCTCAAAGTGCTGGGATTACAGGCTTGAGCCACTGCGCCCGGCCTCGTTTTCTTTTTTGAGCAGATGTTACTTCCTTAAATCTTAACAGAATTTCCGCTTCCTGTCCTTCCTTTCCTACTTTCCTCTAGTCTTTTGAGGAACTTTTAATCCTTAGAAGCCAGCGAATTCATAATTTCTTCTTTCTCCCAAGCATTTGGGGGAAATAAAGAAATGCAGTTGTCTTCTGTTCGTGAGTAGAAAAATAAAGAAATTGAAGGCCAGAATTTAGAAGGAGGCTCTTTAACCTCTCTACCTGCTCCCAGAAAGGGGCGATCATTTTGCATCTAATGCACGCATACTTACCCACTAGGATGTGAGGTCACATGTTCCATTACATTACACTGAAAACTGTTCCTCAAAGCTGGGCGCAGTGGTTCCCGCCTCTAATCCCAGCACTTGGGAGGCGGATACAAGAGGATTGCCTGAGCCCAGGGAATCGAGACCAGCCTGGGCAACTTGGCAAGACCTTGTCTCTACAGTGAATCAAACAGTTAGCTGAGTGTGGTAGCGTGCACCTGTAGTTACGGCTACTCAGAAGGCTGAGGTGGAAGGATCACCTGAGCCCAGCAGGTCGAGGCCACAGTGGCTGTGAGCGTGCCACTGCACTTCAGCCTGAGTGACAGAGTGAGACTCTGACTCAAAAAAAAAAAAACCAAAACTGTTCTCCAGAAGCCTTGACGAGGGCATATATTTCCATCTTGATGCTAATTCGCCAGTGTTCAGGTTCACACTAATTTTTTTATTTTTTATTTTTTTTATTATTTTTTCTTTTGAGTTGGAGTCTCATTCTGTCGCCCAGACTGGAGTGCAGAGACCACTCCCAGCCACCGCAGCCTCGACCTGCTGGGCTCCAGCAATCATTCC